ATTCTACAATACTTTGTAAAGGTCTTGTAAAAAAAAATGATGATTGTGTGTGTATGTATATATTTGTATGTTGGTGTGATTTTATGTGTATAATTATATATTTATATATACATTTTATTTTTATTATCATTACTTTTTATTTTTATTATCATTACTTCATTACTATTATTATTATTATTATTATTATTTTATTATTTTATTACTTTATTGTATTTTGCTCTTTATTTTGTAATTCATTGCAAAGCGCTAGTGACAACTTCGGTTTAACCGGCGCTATATAAATTTTAAAATCTATCTATCTATCTATCTATCCGGAGTAGGGTGTAGATCTGGTAGTATAGTGAAAAAATGGGCCCCCGTGACCATTTTTCGGGGACCAAGGTTTCTCTGCTGATTTGGCATTACTAGGGTATAAATAAAAAAATGAGCGGGGGTGAGCCTCCTGAAAAAGGGCGGAACATGTTTTTGGCGGCAATTTTTAAAATGGCCGCCAAAATCAAGAGAATGGCTCATAACTTTACGTCTACTCCATGAAAAAGGGTAAATATGGTGTCTAACTATATGTTATTAGGGTCACTGAATTCAATTAGACATGTTTCAAAAACCTAGGATGGCAGCCATTTTGAAATTCAAGATGGCTGCCATAGTAATCATTGAAAATCAAATATTCCAGTATAATTCCACTTCCTGTCGTTGAAAAATGGTAAATTTGATTGTCTACTCATATGTAATTAGGCTCTCTGAGTCCAATAAGAATAACTTCCATAAGCTAGGATGGCAGCCATTTTGAAATCCAAGATGGCCACCACATAAATTGTCAAAAATCAAATATTTTGATATATAATCGCATTTCTCCTCGCTCAAAAATGTTAAATTTGGGGTCTAATCATATGTTATTCACATCTTTGAGTCCAATGAACATAGTTTCAAAAACCAAGCATGTCAACCATTTTGAAATTCAAGATGGCTGCCGTAATAATCGTTGAATATCAAATATTCCTGTATATTTCTACTTCTTATCGTTGAAAAATGGTAAATTTGATGTATTCTCATATGTTATTGGGCTCTGCAAGTCCAATAAGCAGTTTCAATAAGCTATGGCAGCCATTTTAAAATTCAAGATGGCCGCCACAAAAATCGTCGAAAATCAAATGTTTTAGTATATAATTGCACCACTTCTCTATAAAAAATGTTAAATTTGGTGTTTAATCATATATGTTATTGAGCTCAATAGTCCAATGAGCATAGTTTCAGAAAGTTAGAATGTCAGCCATTTTGAAATTCAAGATAGCTGCCGTAATAATCGTTGAAAATCAAATATTTTAGTATAATTCCACTGCTTGCCCTTGAAAAATGGTAAATTTGATGTATTCTTATATGTTATTGGGCTCTGCAAGTCCAATAAGCATAGTTTCAATAAGCTAGAATGGCAGCCAATCTAGAATTTAAGATGACCGCCACAAAAATAGTCAAAAATCAAATATTTTGGTATATAATTGCACTTCTCCTTGATAAAAAATGTTAAATTGGTGTCCAATCATGTATGTTTCTCAATAGAAATGGTAAATTTGGTGTCTAATGACTTGTTATGGGCAATCTGAGTCCAATTAACGTAGTTTTAAAAGGATGGCAATTATACGTTTTTCCAATATGTCTGCCATTATTATGTACACATTTTACCTTACAAAATGCAAAAATAATAAATCTTTAGAAATACTACCACTTATATTATACAATAAAACATAAGCATTTGTTTGATGAACCTGTCTGTCTGTCTGTCTGGAATAAATCACAATTAGGTTCATACGTCATCATGCTCGGACGATTCATCGCTTGTTTCATCATCACTCTCATCGCTACTGTCACTATCATTTCGTTCTGGAACTTTAATATCACTGGGTAGGTTTGGCTCAGTACTTCTTTCGGCATAGCACTTTTCATTAATCAGTTTCCACCCATTTTTTGTTGGTGATTGATTGATACTTAAGGAGAAGTTTAATTGATTGTATGATAGATAGTTGGCTCTTTTAATATGCTGAAGTAGTGAATATTTGTCTGGTGCCAATCTTACAAGTGACTTTCTCTTTTTGTAGTACTTCCACTTGGTCAACCTTGCCTCTGTTGTGTCTTTGCTTTTGTTGTCGTATATAAACTTTAAGACAAACTTAAGTAAGTTTTTCAAATGTTGAATTTGTCACAGCAATAGATTCTCTACAGGATTTCAACAGATTTTTTCTTCTTTGCTTTCTCGAACATTATTGCAAATCTTTGCCTTTTCCATGTCCAAAGAATGCAGAATTACTGTCACAGCCGGTCAAAACATGAAGTTGAATTATGATTTCTGCCATTTAATGCCTACACATATCCTTACAATTGACAAACACAGTTTCTTCTGACTTTCTACAGATCATTAGTTCTCCTGGCAACTTGTGTGCAACGTATGCAGCCGGAACATACACATCTGTATCCTCCGAGTCTATTACTACTGGTTTAGTAACTTTGCAGCTTGTTCTGAGATAGTAGTAAATAGTCAGCATCGATTTATCTGCTTCTGCCTGACTACAATTAAATTCTGGTATCTCACAATTATCTGCTAATCAACACAATTTTCTAAAGAGTACAACACTCAAATTCCTTCAACTTTATACTTCTTCTTGCTAGGGTTTCTTTAATAGATTCTTGTATTCTTGACTTGTTGTAATCGCTCTTCGGGATTTTGTTAAACTCTTTACTTGATAAAAACTGGTCCTGTAACTTCATGTGTGTATTAGGTATTTTCTGCCCATTTGATCGTCATTCTTTTTCTTCATATTTGATCGACTCTTCTTTACTGTATGGGTCATTAACACATATAATGGCTGATGCATTGTGATGTCTTTTAAATATAATATCTGTGCATTTGTTGACATAATTCTCCCGAGTAAACAAGGAACCATCTTCATTAAGCCTTTGTTCTTTATTAGGGATTGCCTTTCTGATGACCATGCCCATATCGATAATAGCAGTGTATTCTGCAGTTTTGTATCCATACAGTGGACAAGTTTTGATTTCTGGCATTTTCTAAATGTACCATTAGCATTGAATATGGCCAGAGATTTAGAGGTTACTCTCACCAAAGTTACAACTTTTGATCGACAAGTGGAATTATATACCAAGTATTTTATTTTTGACGATTTTTGTGGCGGCCATCTTGAATTTCAAAATGGCTGACATGCTTGGTTTTTGAAACTATGTTCATTGGACTCAAAAATGTGAATAAAATATGATTAGACCCCAAATTTAACATTTTTGAGCGAGGAAAAATGCAATTATATATCAAAACATTTGATTTTTGACAATTTATGTGGTGGCCATCTTGGATTTTTAAAATGGCTGCCATCCTAGCTTATGGAAGTTATTCTTATTGGACTCAGAGAGCCTAATTGCATATGAGTAGACATCAAATTTACCATTTTTCAACGACAGGAAGTGGAATTATACTGGAATATTTGATTTTTAAAGATTACTATGGCAGCCATCTTAAATTTCAAAATGGCTGCCATCCTAGGTTTTTGAAACATGTTTAATTGAATTCAGTGACCCTAATAACATATAGTTAGTCACCAGATTTACCCTTTTTTATGGAGTACAAGTAAAGTTATGAGCCATTCTCTTGATTTTAGCGGCCATTTTAAAAATGGCCGCCAAAAAACATGTTCCGCCCTTTTTCAAGAGGCTCACCCCCGCTCATTTTTTTATTTATACCCTAGTGATGCCGAATCAGCAGAGAAACCTTGGTCCCCGGAAAATGGTCACGGGGGCCTTGTTTTTCACTATACTATGGGGACCATTGAAAGGAAAAACCTCCCAGACCACATATTTCGAAAACTTATCAAATGATCTGAATGATACATTCGGAAAAGGTTTAACCAAGTTACAAGGAAGATAGTATTGTGTTGTAGACGATTCCGTCAAGGGTGTAAATTTGAGGTTCATTTAAATTTTTGAGATTCAAGACGTAAATATCTATAAAAAGTTTTCAATGGGTGTATATAATAGTTTGTAAATGTCTAGTAAAGAAATAATTGAATCGTTTTAATGATCCGGCGTAGGGTGTGAATATGACGACCATTTAAAGTAAAACGTCCCAGACCAGATATTTCAAAAAAGGTCAACTGATCCGAACGAAACTTATGGGAAAGTTTAACCCAAGTTACAAGGAAGATATCATTATGTGTAGAGGACGATCCAGGTTAGGGTGTAAATTTTAGGGTCATTTAAATTGCTTAAGTCCCAGTTATAGATGAATAAAAATGAAACTTTTCAAAATAGTTTTGGCGAAAAGAAGAAATGATCCAATTTTGGTGACGATCCGCAGTAGGGTGTGGATATGAGGACTATTTAAAGATTTTTTGTTGACAGTTGATTAAATTATTTAAACTGAATTTGCTTTTTTTAAAGCGCCTAAACCAATTACAGCTAGGTTAAACTAAAAACTACCGTAATATGCATGACCAATTTTTGCTTTTAGTCATTGAATCGTTATTAACTGAAAACGCACTTTCCTTTGCAAAGTCAGCTCATATAGCACGCAACGGCTATGAGCCACGATGTACCTAGCTATTATTATTATTATTATTATTATTATTGTATACTTATATAGCGCATATCAAACTTCTCTATGCGCTGAACATTATTACCCTGGATCACTGGATCAAGCACATATGGAACACACACTCAGGCCCCATAGGGGAATTCCATAATGCTGCAGCTGTATTCAGCGCAGGCTGTGTTTGAACCTACCAGGTACCCACTTTTACTCCTGGGTGGAGAGAGACAACCGTAGATAAAGTGCCTTGCCCAAGGACGCAAGCGACTTGCACAGCGAGAGTTTTGAACCCCCGACCTCGAGGTTGGGAGTCCAAACCACAACCGATGCGCCAACCACTTCTACCTTCTATTATTATTACCATTGCAGCCATAGTTCAAGTCTCCCTAATAACGTCACAGCAAACTTGGTTTTTGTTGTTTTTTATTTGTTTCTGTTTATTTTTTCCCACTTCATTTTTTTCCACTTCTTTAATATAATTTCAGAAAAACAAGAAGACTAGACATTCCTTTTGGAAGACTTAAAAAAACTCAATTTTTGTTAAATTCTATAGTCCTAAATTATGGAATGAAATTACAGATGAAATCAACAGTTGCAATAATTTACTTTTATTCAGAAAAACTATAAAAAAAAATATCTTTCAAATTATGCAGATATAATTTAAATCACATCTTCCATACCGTTCATTTGACAAAATTTTAAATTAAGAGAAACTTAATCTGATACGAGATACACTTTTTGCATGTTGCTTATTAATATGTTATTTTATATATATTACATTTCTTTTGTTAAGGGATGATTTTGAGACAAGTTTTTAACTTCTAATCTGATTCCTAAATCGTAATTTATAGCTATTAATTGTTTACTTTCATATATTTCGATTTGAATAAATGTTACCGTTACTTACAATATAAAATTACATTGATTTTCCATGTTTTTTTTTATTTTAATTTTTTTTTTACTTTATACTTTTTAACGACATTTCTTTTTGTTGCAATTTCAACTTCATTTCTCTCTTTCAATTTTCTTCATTTTAAAATAATGGGGAAAAGCCATATGTTCTGTTGTTTAAAGTTGTTTAAACAGATAGAGTAAGTCTAGTTTTAAGTGCTATTATACTGTTGCTAAAAACGCATGATAAATTGGCTGGCAAAATTGGTCACACACTTTAATATTTTAGTCAATTTCAGTTAAAGACAGATTAAATTGCTGTGTTCATAAATACACAACAAATTTGTTTCTCAGAAACAATGTATATTCTTACAATCAGCTGAATATGCTGTCATACTTTAGAATACATAATTTAGTAACCTCAGGGAACCCCCAGTAATGGCGTCGACAATAGAGGGGCCGTTCAACAATTTCTTCTTAGATTTACATCCACAATTTACAAGCGAGTTGCAGCGTCCTATGTTTTTCGTCATGGTAAGCATCAGCCTTAAGCATCATAATCATTGTGTTGTGTGTTTATGGGTTATGATCATGTTTTAAATAATAAAAACTATGTATAATTTAACCATTATAATCTATCCACATTTTGAGGAGTATATTATTCTCATCACACAAAGAAGGCTTGTCAGATTTTAATGATAGTAGTATATTATTCTCATCACACAAAGAAGGCTGGTTAGACTTTCAATGATAGTTATAAACACTGGGGTGGCTGTACTAATATATGTAGAATCTCTTTCATTCATATATTTCTTCATTTCTTTCACAACTTTCAATGTATTCTCTGTGTCTCCCTCAGTAAGTAATACTCTGGCTTTAATATATAAAACAAGTATAATTGGATGACAATAAAGTATCTTGTTACTGATGACACATTTGACATAGTAAAGCAATATTTCATCGGCGGCCCAGGCACTGAACAGGCTTGGTGATGTGCAAAAAGCTTTCTCTTCCTGTACGATTAGAACAAAAGCAAGCCTACAGTTTTTTTCTCCAAGACCGTCCTTTTCTAGTATACAGTCACACATCTGCTTCAATCCTTTGTAGTTACCCATTATGTAATGGTATTTTACTAGAAGGACTTCACCACCAATGCCATTGTCACCGTAGTTGTCAGAGAAATCCATTTTAGCACCTAAGTTATAATAATGCAAAGGAGTATTAGCTAGATCTTCATTATACATACCACCACTGTTTCTTAAGCATACCAATAAATGAGTGTAAATATCACCTAAGAATCTATACAAACTTGTCTTGAACATTTCCACATATCCCTTTGGGACTATCTCTTTAATATTGTCAACAATTGGCATTATGATTTCCTTTGGAACACTGCAATTCACTAAAGGATCCTTCTGCACGTACTCCGTAATGAGACTGGCGAATGAAGTATGGTTATATGTAGCAAATTTTTGCATCTTTAAATTCTTTACTAAATTAAACTTGAAGCATAAACTTGAACGCATGCATTCAATGGTCTCTGGATGGATTAAGAGTTTTTCTAGTAGTATTGAGCATTTATCATCTCCATTGCCTTTACTGATATTGAGCATATCACACTCAAGGTTTAAATCAGAAAGGCAAGAACATGTGTCACCACTACCGACACTTGATAACACCTTTGCAAAAAGATTTCCCTTAATCGCTGCTAGTTTTTTTCCAACATCGTCACAAACTTTAGGTGGGAGATGACCAATCAAATTGTGTTGAGGAATAAAATAATGAGGCAGATGTTTTTGTTTATAGCAGTCAATGATCCAGTCTAGAACATTTCTGATTAAGTCCATGACGCTGTCTGTAGGAGGAAATTTTTCACACATCCACAAGCAAGCAGTCTTTATGACATACGAGCTGAATGGTGTTGGTTTGACAGAATCTTCATACTTTATATACTTTTTCTTGATACATTTCAGAGTAAACATGCATTCAGCATATTGTTCATACATTTCAGTAATAAGCTCTCTCTCTGCTATGGAGAATGATAATCTCCATTCAATAGTATTCAACTTACTACCTGGGTATCCAACAGGAACTACATGGCATTCAAGACCTTTGACCTTGTCTATCAACTTCTGTGATGGCCAGTTGTTCTCTCTGTTTCTATTTAAAAATTCACTAGTAAAATCCGGCCATGATTGACATTTCAGGCAATGTACTACATCCAATAGACCGGTTCCAATATCTACGAAATTTGAATTATACCCAACGTTTATTGCGGGACCGTGTCTCATCTCATTTTTATAACTTTTCTCGAAATACGAGTTATGTGAATAAGTTTTCGCTATGAAATCACTGGTTTTCAGGTATCCATCTTCATTAATCATACATCTGAAATCCTTAGGCAGATATGCTTTGTCAGCTACCTTGAGCCTCAAATACGTAGGAGGCCTATTTTTAACTTGCTCAGCTATTACAAATGCCCCACTTTCATTTTTGGATTCCCACAATACTATTGGAAATGTTTGTAAACATACCATCAGATCTATGTCGTTTGTGGCTAAATGAGGAAAACCTTCATACACACTTCCAACAAAATACTGCTCTGGCTGCATTATTTGAATATTCGCTAGTATTGATGCATTTTTAAGCAATTCATTATCAATCCTACTAGTACAAATCCTAGGCAATCTTTCAATTGTTTCCAATCTGATGATTTCATTGGCAGTTTCGTCCATCGCTCGACGTTTCTTACCATGGTCTGTCATGGTTAAATTTGACTTGCTTTCATTAGGATAACAAACAATATGCAGCTAATAATAACGCTTTTGTATACTGTAACGATGCGACAATCAACAGGCAGATTGTTAGCTCAACTGTAAAGCACGGTTGGTGTAAGTTAACATATTGAACCATAATTAGCATATACAAAATAGCAGTTACGAGCCAATGATTATACATGGTCTATTGGTTACGCATTATATTCAGACAACAGTGGATATAATCGTTGTGTCTACACATGATTTCCATTGGTCATGCAAATACAATAGCTACAATAGCAGCACATCCTATGCATATTGTAAGAAAACAGTTTTTAAACGCAGAAGGTGTACACATATTGATTTGAAAGAAACTATTGATTTTAATGAGGCTTCTGAAATTGTTTTTCCACGTAAAATTTGAAATGTTAATTGCCTGTAATATAAATTTATGATCTTTTTTAACGAAATTATAGAGAATAATATGTTATTTTTAATTTTTTTAAACAAAAATGTGTTTCAATGGTCTTTTATTCATAAAAATTACAAATAGCTAGGAAATAATACCAGTACAAAGAAATATCAGTAGGAAAAATGCCATTAACAAAGGAATGATCCATTTCAAAATAGGGGTGTTTGTTAAGACAGTATAGTCAGGGGCTATTTCACACCCAGTTAATCCTATTCATATGGTAATTACTGGTTTTCATAGTATAATTAGCAAAGTACAGTATAAGTTATTTCTTTATTGTATTAACTAGGACAATTATTTATTAGGTTGTATTTATTTTACTAAATAAAATACCAGAGCATCATCATTTATGTTTGTTGTATTTGTTTTAAGTATCAAAGTACATGATTAAATACAATCTGGTTAGGTTGTATTTATTTAAGTAGTAAATACAATTTAATAATACCTGTATTTTTCAATGATGCCCATGAGGTTAAAGGCACATGTGTACAAGACCATAATAAAACCTGTGGCTCTATTGAGCAGAGACATGAGTAGTGAAAAAAGAATATATAAAGAAGTTGGAAGTGGCAGAGATGAAAAGCCTGCGAACGATTAGAGGGTGAAAAGAGAAGAGAGAATGAAAGACGAAAATATAAAACAGGAAGTAAAAGTTGTGAATTTGAGAGAAAAGATAAGAGAAAGCAGATTGAGATAGTAAGGACATATGAAGAGAAAAGAAGAGGATGATTTGGTAAGATGGGCACGGAGCATGTAGAGATGGGCAAAAGGAAGAGAGGACGACCTACAAAGAGCTGGATTTCGCTAGTATTTGGGGACGTACTGAGTATTCGGTACGATATCAGGTCAGGTAGGGCAAAACATCACTCCAATAATAATGCAATCTAATAATAATAATAATAATAGTTTATCTTAGTTTTTTTTTTATTTCATTAACTAGGCATAATTTATTAGGTTGTATTTATTTTGAGTGTAATCCAAAACTTGTCAGCCCTAGAATTAAATATTCACTTTTAAATTTTTATGAAAGTATTTTGCACAGTATGCCTGAAAAAAGCATGCACAGCTTAAAGGTATAATATTGGCTGAAAGCGATCGATATTTCTTGCTTTAAACTTAGTTTTATATCAATTTATTAGTTTGATTCTTTCTTAGCTGATGTAACATTTTATATTATTATTTTTGAAGACTTTCAAATACAATTTCAAGTGTATTTGTAGTTAAAAAAAGATCGTTCGTAATGACGTCATCACCGTAAATTTCGTTCGTAAAATCGAGAGTTCGTAAATGGGAAGTTCGTAATTGGGATATGTTATTGTACTATCAATCTAGGTGTAGACAACATTTGGTTTATGTACTGTTAATAATTATGTCTGAAGATATTTTCAAAAATTAGAGAGGTGGGTGGCGGCACATTTTGTTTTTTTTTTTTTGTTTTTTTTTTTGTTTTTTTTTTTGTTTTTTTTGTTTTTTTTTTTAAATTAAACACACCACCTCAGCTCATTCACTATTTCCATGAAAATGAAGAAATTGCAATAGTTAAAGTTGTACATAAATAAATAGGGGCAGACCAAAAACTACATGGCGAAGAACAATTATGGCTGAATTAGAAACAGAGAATCTGAAATGGGAATCAGCAGAGAAGATGGCCAAGTATAAACAGGTGTGGAACTTTGTTGTAGCCTTATGTCCCAAAGGGGATGAAGAGGACTAAGTAAGTAGTAAAGTTGTACATGCATTATCTAGTCTTCATTCCATGATGTTATCAACTTTTTAAAACAGCTACAACATCATAGTTTTTGAATATATTTTATTGAAAAAAATCTCAATAATTTGCCTTTTGTCATGAAGGCTATATTTCATTTAACAAGTTGAAATCGTACACATGTGTTCACAAGCCACACAACTACCTCTAATCCAAATAGTTATGTATGGTCGAATAATCAAGAACATACTAAAAAATTGTCCCAGACGACAATATTTTATATTGAAAATGAAATAATTACACATTTATAGTTGGACTCATTCAATATGGGTTTATTTATGCGGGTTTGCTGTGTTACCAGCCCATTTGGCTATCGATTTCATGAAGATGATGATATATTACTCCTCAAAAACGGCTCAAAAAGCTTTTTTTTTCAGTACTATTGACCCAAATCTTAGTTTTTCGGGCTTTACTTATGACAAATGAGAATATGTTTACAAGTTCAAATTTTGCAAGTGTATTATTTTGTGAAATTCTGCAATATCTTTATTTTGCTCGGAGCTATCTGCACTCGAATGTGCCCCCAAAGGACCCCAAAAAAGTGCTGTTTTGAAATCATAAGGCCTTTTTAGATTTACAGCCTAATTGCCGAATATATACATGGTCCAATTGTGCTTTTGTATAATGTAACATGGTAAGAGTAGACATTCGTGTTCAGCCAAACTTTCGGGTTGTGAATCCTGAAGCTTAGGGGGCCTATGTGTCATATAAGATAATCCCACGTTAAGTTTTTTGTCTATTTCTTAACCCAAGTATCTTATATGTTTTACTTGTTCGATGTTTTCTGTTGACGTAGATATTCAGGACATCAAAAGAACATATATTGTGGTTTCTAATTAGCATGACTTTTGTTTTAACTGCATTTATTTTCAACTTAGTTCCGACATTCTATTTACCAATATTTTCTAAAATAGTTTGTAATTTTGTATTTAATTCATCAACTTGTTTTGCTGACACATAAATAGCAACATCATCTGTAAAAATACTAAGTACCAAAATAAAATTGGACCCAAGACACGAACCCCCTGGTCCTTAATTAATTTTTTTGAAGGCCCAAATTATTTTTAGAGTTGATCTGACGGGCCAATGAAAACCTCAGCCGGGTTGAAAGCAATTGTTATACATCTGGGTGAAACCCTTTCCGCTAAGGCATTAGCAATTTGAAATTATAGGGGCCTAGTTACTTTTAAATTGTACTAGGCCTACACCAGTGGTCATGACCCAATTGGGAAATTTGAGTGTGGACCTGTCATCAGTTTAACAGTCGTCAGTCAAAAGACCAAAATACCAAAAAAAAAAAAAAAAAAAAAAAAAAAAAAAAAAAAAAAAAAAAAAAAAAAAAAAAAAAAAAATCCGCAAGTACACAGTACGGTATGCATGTACTAGCAAAATGTATTTTTATATACACCAACTTTTTATTCCCTGTAAAGTAAAAAAATGGTATTAACGAATCACAGTGAAAAGAACAAAGTACAAGCGGCACTGAAGTCGAATGATGCTAAACTGTATGACTTGAAAAGAAAGTTATTGACGAAACACAATGATCAGCAAAACCCAGAGCCATAACTTGGCGTCATATAAAGTCCTGTGTGACTTGAATTATTTGCAGGACAATTGAAATGTACTTTTATAAGCACTGTTCTTTGGTTCACTAGCTGTTTATTATCATGTAAAATAAGTAGGCTTACGGATGTTATTGACGATAGACCCCATAGATACCCCAAAGCGCCAAGATGTTATTAACATTTGGAGCTATATGAATTGATTATTATTATACTGCAATTATATTGCAAAATAACTTTAATTTAGTTGTGTTTACCTCTATGATTTAACAATGGGCTTCTTCTACCATGAGTCTCAAATCATGCATCTTTGCAATCGTTAAATTGTTAACATGACTATAATAAATTTTACTTCCTTTGGGCTGCTGTGTTTTAGGAGAGCTTAATCTGTATACCAATCTTGGGAGTTTTTGATAGATCCGTTTACAGAATTTTGGATCAGAGTGGGGTAACCCCTAAATAATCATAATGCGCTTAGCTAGGCCTATATACCTTGTGTGAAGCTCACAGTGAAGAATAGGACCACGAAAAGTACCCTGTGATCACTTTATTTTATGTATGTCCTACAGTAGGCCTATAACATCTTGCTCATTTTCAAACCGCCCTGTACACACGGATTGCATTTTCGTCTTTACCTTTCGGTTTTTGAATATTTCTATTTGCTCTAATAGAACATTTTACTAAAAAATGAGCGGAAATGCCATTTCTTACCTTTAACATGTTTCAATGTCATAGCCTTAATCCTTATATCTCCGCAAGCACTGGTGGTAGAGAGTTAATTGTGGTGTCAATTTGTTCGGAACATTCATGTTTCTATTTGGTCCAATAAATGAGTTAAAAAATTACCGGAAATTCCATTTCTGACCTTTTACATATTTTCTTTCTGTCTTCCTTTCTTTCTTTCTTTATTGTATACGCAAAAAACAAACAACTGGTATACAATAGGAGCCAAGAAATAGACAAGTCTAATCGAGCTTGGCCCCTTTCTTAACTATCCCCCTCAGCCCCAATAAATAAAATAGAATAAAATAAATATATAAATAAAATAATGAAAATAAATAAATAGGCATCAATCTTCATACTCGGAATAAAGTAATTTTTTCAGTTTTGAAAAAAATACATTCCTCGAGGTAGTCTCTCTTAACTTAACAGGTATTGTATTCCAGAGTTTAGCACCCATATAAGAAATTCTAAATTTACCTAAATTAGTTCGGCATTTTGATATGGCTAAATTATATTCGTAATTAAACCTTGTTGCATAACTATGACAAATATTTTCAAAATAATCAGATAAAC